TATACCTAAATTTTACAACATACCTTATTGCTAACGTAAACATAAAATATTGACGGATTATTTTAATTAGGGCGCGTAGCGTCATATTGCATTACGAAATGCAATTCTCAGCCAGTTGAAGTGTGACATAATTCTTCTTTTCCTTTTGCAAATGAATTATGTTGATTTTGTATAATTCACACTTTAAAGTGGATGTATAACAACGATATGCGATCACACTACACTCTAATGACCGTATTAACAAAATATGAAGAAGAATCTAATTTACTAAGCGCCACACCACGCACACACTTACTTTCTGTTCTAGTTTATTTTACTGATTTTAATTTTCGTTATATTGCTTTTGTTTGTTTAGGTTATTAATTTGTAAACATTTAGTGTAACACCAAATTTACGTATAAGAAAACCGTATATAAGATTATTTCGAATAAAAGCACAATTATCAAAATCAAATTTCTGGTAATCCATTCATGCAACCTAAAGCCCGCCTTCTTCTTTTATTGTTAAAAGATTTATCCCTTGGTAAAATAAAGAATTAGTCTTGGCGTACTGAAGCCCAGCGTGCGGACATTAAACTCAGTGAAACCAATATTACTCAAATCTCACATCGAAAACCACTTTAACGATTTGCATTACATTGCGATTCTGCAGATTATGCCCATGTACGTCCTGGTTTCGAAATGTCCTGTTGAATCGTTTTGAGAAAATGCCGTTTTGTAAACATTTTACCTACTTGGCGAATGTGGCACATACATTCAAAGTACTTAACACCTCTAATAAATGGAAGGTCCCTAGCCGCTCACTATTGAAGAGCTCCATAAAAGAGCAGAGAAAAAAATTAACCGAAGAAAAATCACCATCCCCAAGCAAAAGGAATTCGGCGGGAAACTCAGAAAGAACCGCAAACGCGTCCAATACTCAAAACACAAGGTAAACAATCAATTCCTTGGCATCCACAGTCTACTGGCAACAAATCATCGCCCTAGAAAACTGGTTTGAGTAGAAAAACTTTTGAGCAGAAAAAATTTTAAATCTTGTTAACAACAACACACATCAAGGAAAATGACATGCATTTAATTTTTATAATAATAGTAAGATACATTAGTTCTAAAATAACACAATATTTTAAAAAATGTGTTTCCAAAAAAATATAACACCTAACACCACAAGCTAAATGTAATTAATAAAATTAAATTAAAAATATATCAAGCATTACCATCTTAATGGATAGTACGGATGAGATAAGTATCTCAATAGACAGAATAATATCAAATATAAAAATATGGAACAAAGAAAATACAACAACAATACAAAATAAATTACGAGAATTAGAAGAATATACAGAAAAAACCAACAAAATAAGAACAGGTAACACAGGAAAGAATATTAGAAAAAATTGAACTATTTAAAAAAAACACGAAGAAGCCAAAAAATTATTAGAAGAAAAGAACAAGAAAGAATAGTAATAATAACCCAAAGAATAACCCTAAAAATGGCATTAAATGTAGAAATCGGTTCCAAATTCATTTCCTCATTACTGTCTTTCACTATTACTAATGTAAAATTATATAATAATGGTGACAGAGAGAAAAATAAAGAGAGGAATAGTCCGACGTCTGTCTCCATACAATGTCGAAAGGACTTGTGCGATGGCCATTACCTTCTTACACATTCTGCGCTTAAATGGTTTTTTTTTTTTTTTATCTTCTAACACATATGAATATATTTGAGAACTTAATAATGGAACTTATTGACAGAGTTGAATAAAATATGTGAAAAACATTGCTAATTGAAAAATTTCAAAAAATTGCAAATTTTCACCACTTTTTGCTTGTTACGGTTGTTAACACAATTTACCCATCATCATCTTTCGGAGTACTATTAAAAATCAATGCGTTTTCGTTATAAATTAAAATTTTATGCAAGAGTTGAAGCAATTGACTAAGCAGACATAAGTGATAGCAATAAATCTATTAAAAAAGGTTCTAAAACAAGCGGATAAAGAAGAAATTATATATAATCTACAAAAATTAAAAAAATTGTTTTGAAATTTTGTTAAAAATAAATAAACTTAAGCGGTACAGTGAAAAATTTTGCATAATCAAAAATTATGTGATCTTTTTTCACAAGAACGCCTCCATATAAGTAACGCCTCCATAAGTAACAACAAGAAAATTTAACGTAATAGACTTTTCGAATATATTTAAATATTTAAATCTATATAAATTTGATTTACTCTCCGCTTTTTAAAGTCCCCCCTAAATCACAAATAATAATTATTGCTAGTGAAAAAGGAACACAGCGACTTTAAAAAATAGTTGCTAATAACCACATCATCATCAGCTCAGAATGGGTGAGTTAGCAGCATCGTTATGTCCGTTATTAGTGAGCGAAAAAAAAAAAATGGGTTGAAACTATGACTGTTTAGCGGATGAAGGTAGCAGCGGCACACTTATGTAGAGGGTAATACGACATATTATTGTACATAAGATTAAATTTCCTTCGTTTTTTTTTATTTCTAATCTTCATAGTACTATTATATTAGTACCACTTCTTATTATATAAACGTTCTCATACTACGTTTAATTAATAAGTTTATGTAAAAATGATATTGACATGGGAAAGTGAATTGTTTGGCTCTGTAGCCAGTACATGGGATATCAAAGGCTAGTACAAATGTAGCAGTGACTAGTGAAAAATAAAACATTTAATGAACCTAGGGGTGAAAAATAATTAAATAAATAAATAATTCAAATTAGTGAAGCTACGAAAAGAGCATATGGGACAATACGTTTGTTACTCATAGATCTGTACACGTAATTTTGCCTATATCGCTATTATATTAGCAAATCTTTCAAGTTAGTACAAGTGTATATGTTATTTCTTTACATATTGAATTGAACAAAAAAGTAAAATGACTTCACCAAATAGAAATAAAAACAAACGATGTACATAGAGAAAACAAAACAATAGCTTTACATGTTAATATTAGTTAAAGTACGGGCTAATCACATATCTGAGGGCTATCGTTCGCTATGAAGCCAAAAGTTGATAAACATCTTATTTGGCTTCATGTAAGACTTTCGTTGCTATCGTTTATGTGTAAATGAAAATATATGAAAAAAATGAAAAATCACATTTACGTTTATGTATATTTCTGGCTATCAACATACAAAAAATAATAACTGGTTCTTTTTCGTGATAAATAAACAAATAAATCAACTATTTATAAAGGAGTAATCCGCGAGTGTACTACACATTTAGCTAAACGGGAGCAAAAACAGTTGTGAACTTTATCCTGTTTCTTGGATTATATCCGACTTTGAAAAATAAACAGACTTCATATAACTTTTTGCGCAGTAATCTGAGTAGATAGTAGTAATCTACATATATACCAATGTTTCTCTTAACTCTTTTGCCCAAATTGGCGAACTTTTATACAATTTCAACGTGTATATGCGGTCAGATTTATATGCTTTCGAATAAATTTTTTTTTTTAATCGCTTAAAATTTGTAGTTTTGGTTAAATTGTTTGTAAATAAAAAATTTTCTTGGCATTTTATTTTGCTTTCTAATTACAGTTCTTTTTTTTTTAATTACAATTCTAAACACCTAATGCTAACGTAAATCGTAAGTTATTAGGGTTTGCGGCGATCATCGCCGTGATTATCGCCTGGTTTGTTTTAAAAAACAATTGATTATCGCCAAGAGTCTAATCAGGTGCCATCATTGCCCGCAATGCATTAATAACAGAGAGAAAAGAAAAAATGAGAACCACATTGACGGTTATTTGTTTTTTATAAACAAACTACAAATGGTATACGATGACAAGCATGGAAGATGAAATGAATAAAAAATGATGTAGAATTTGAAAATTGAAAAAAATAATAAAGTTAAATCCAGTGTTTCAAGTTTTAGGTCTTTCGTTGTAGAAAAAGATAATTATTATATGTTCCTTTTTACAGATTTTTCGTAAAAATGAATGTTAAAAATTCTGCTATGGTATATTATTAGTGATTAATTCATATAAATAATATCTTCTTCATCATTATACTAAATTTTCTCTTGCATTCCAAAACCTTTCTTTCTTTTATGCTTATATACGAGTAAATAAAACGAAGATCCAGTACGTAAAATGTTTTACTTTCAGTATTTCTTTAACTTTTATGCAAATTGTTTTGTGAGTTATAAGTTTAAAAATGATTTCTGTTTTTAAGATTATTATATTATAAATTTCCTCCCACTTTTTAATGGCCGCAAATGTTGTGCATAGCCGTACAAACGTTTACGATTCTTCCCAGTTTTTTTGGGCTGTAGCAGCTCTTTCGCTTTTTCTGTAGAATATCTCAGCGACCTAGAGAAATGTTCAAAAACAGTGATTAGATTTTGGAAATAATAAATACTGTAATACTAATCTTTATACACACGGATGCATTTTTCCACAATGCCATGGATTCAATGGATTCCATTGTTTTTTTAGGGGATCCGCCGAAATTCGCTAATGGTCTAGGGGGCAACACTTTCGGTACGGTCTCTGCAGCCCAGTAAGCTCCTGAAGCTAAGAATTTTAAAATCATGGCTAAGCGCAAAAACGGCGGTAGAAATCGTTCCATGACGTAGTGAAAAGCCGCCTCGGAAATATGGAATTTCTGCCTAAATTTCTATACAAGAGTATAACATATATTTATTTGTACATAGTTTGTCAACAATAGAAATAATTTACTTAGTCGTTGTGTTGTAGCGCTAGGGAGTCAGAAGCATCCCGTGAAGTCTTTCTCACCTGTCTCATGGTGATGTTTTCCACTGCGTCGCGGCTGCCATTATTCTTTTGTCCAATGAACGAGCATAAAAGAAAGTTACGATACATTGAGTTGAAAATATACAGATTGGTCAATATTGCTTAATTTAGTTCGATATTTAAAAAAAAAAATTGTAGTTTTACCAAATTTTGATTTTTTTTCTTCACAATTCACAAATGTAATTTGAGACACAATTTATATTGTATTTACTTTTGAATTAATTGTTTTTTATTTTGAATTTTTTTTTTGTATTACACAGTGTCGAAAGCAGTAATAAATAATCCATTGACATCTCGGTCTGTACTTGTACAGACGTTTCGTGTTGTTCGCCCACCGATACACCAACATTGCTACCCAGATGCAGCCAGGAAACACTGCGGTGATGCGTGCTTTGATGATAATTCATCACTGCTACTATAGTAAACAAAGGAACTTTTGATAATATGATTGAATCTCAAGTATCAAAATCCAAACTTCAGTTTTCAACTTTCCCACAACCACACCTTTCATTTGTTGAACCAACCAATGACGCAAATGTGTAAAGCTTGTCTGAGTACGCGTTATATTTGTTCGACCTTAAGGGTTTATATTCTGCTTCGAATTTGCATTTGCATTGGCATTTGCATTTCTGCGACTTATGCAGTAAACTGGCTAATAAAATAATACGCCTTCTCTTCGGGAGCTCAGTTAGCAAGTTTATATTTTGTAACGTCCGCGAACAAATGTTGGGTAGGGTGTCAGTCCGCTGCTTTTGCAAAAATGTGATAATGACGGCATGCCGTTATTCAAAATCGCACGATCACAAATGTAGCGGCTTGCTGCTATGCAAAAAAGATCAAGCAAGAGAAAAATGAAACGTTTTTTGTTGAGAGAAGAGAACAAGAAACAATGCTTGACTTTTCAATGGTTGTTTTTTGTTTTTGAGTGGAGAAGGTTTTGTGCAGTGAAACAGTGCGGGAGTGTTGACATCTTTTCTAGGAGTTTTAATTAAAAGTAATGAAAGTTGTTTTGTGTTACCTAAAGGATAAAAACAAAGGAAAAGGAGGAATACTGGATCATATGTACAAGAATGCATACACAAAAAAAATAACAAAAACTGAAAATTTTTCTATTAATTTAAATTGAAACTAAATGATACGAAAAATACAAGAGGATTTAATCGGGAATGTTAGTAAATAAAATATAATTTTTGTAAGTGAAATGAATCCATTTTCACTTGAGGTCTACGCAATCATCGCCATAGTTTTAGTACAGCGAGATTCCATCTAAAAGCGCTAATGAAAAACCAAAAGGAGGTGAACGAACAAAGAAAAGAAGAAAAAAAGAAATAAGTAAGAAAATTTTTTTTAAAATAATTTTTCATATTGGATAGATTAAAGTGAAAAAGGGTCAGAGGGGACATTTTTTTTTATGTTTGTATGTAAAGATGGTAGAATAGGGCTCAAACCTTACAAGTTTGAAAAATAATGTCTAATGTCTAAGAGAAAAAGAAATTATTAGCTAGAACTGTACAAAAAACCAAATATAACAACAAAAGTAAATCTTTTAGAGGAAAAAAGAAAGAATGGATTCGGCAAAAGTAAAAGAAAAGAAAAATAACGAAGGAGAAAGTAATACGTTAAAGAACAATTAAGCTAATGTACCGACAAGAAAAACATAGAAGAGTGGAGTTGTGGAAGTCAACGAGTACGCTTGTTTTTTTTTCAACTGTTTTGATTATCTGTTTTTTTTTGAAAAAAAAGAAGGAAATACTTAGTTATTCGAAAAATTAAATTAAAGAAAAGAGAAACCCATGAAAGGATATTTGGCCGTCCATTAAAGTGATACGGTTTGATTTGAACATAAATCCAATGCAATCACAGAAATAGCAAGTAAAGCATTGATAAAATACAGGGACTTATATATTTAAATACGATGAAGAAAAGTCTATAAAAAAGGGAAAAGAACTTGCTCAATATTAAGCAAAGCATAAAAATTTCATCAATGTCAAAGAAATGTTAATTTTGGTATATGTATATATATATACTCATATATTGGAAACGGGGCATAACGGACAGCTGAAATATTGGAAAAGATAATCCGCATGCATATCGAGAAAGAAGTGTAAGAAAAGAAAGGCCAAAAAGCAGAAACAACAATAACATTAACATTTACAAAATACTGAAAAAGAATTTCTTGCTTTCAACAAAGGCGCTATTTTATGAAGTAAAGCGAAGATTTTATCTTCGTATAGCTATATATAATAATAATGAGAGGATGACGAGTGAAGGATTGCCTGAAAAACTGTAAAAATTTGCACCCCTATGAAGGTTAATCTAGAAAGAAACAGATCGAAGTTGTTTTCTGTTGGTTATGTGCAATTTAAAACCTGGATTGTAACTTAATTCAGTTAAAACTGTTGAAACTATCCCGAATTAAATAAATGAAGTGTTTGTTAAAGCCGTTTTAAGAAAAAAAGAGAAGGAAGCTTTATTATTCAAGACATATTGGAAAAAAAGGGCAAGTAGCTAAGCCCCTGTTAGTGACTTAAAAGTTTGTACTGCGGTGAAATTGACTACCGCAGAGTTTGGCAGTTAGGGCTTATCCTCGATTGAATATCAACAGCATTGGAAGATAAGAATCGAATAATTTTACAGTTGCGGGTATTCTCAGGGAGCTAAATGGTCAAAAGAGTAAGTTCTTTACTACTTGCAGAAATCATGAAGCTGTCACTAACTCAAATGCTACGAACAACAGGCAGGTATTAAGTTAGTTAATTAAAAAGCCTTTATACAAAGAAAAAAACAAACAAATGTCTTATGTATGAATAAGAAAAAGAAAGATGAGTGAATAAGTAAGATTATACTGCACTCTACGGAGTATGGAAGGGTACGTGCTTGGATGGAAACAGGGGAACTGGGGACGGTTACCGGCGGACTAAAACCGGACCAACGAACGACGGACAACAGACCTTACAGACTGACTTACTAAGGGAATTCTACTATAATTTATTATAAACATTACGATTTTATTATAAACATTATAAAATCACAAAAAAAAAATTAATATATTCTTATGTTACAATTTTTTGTCCAATACCATATTCAATCTGAATAAATCATTTCTTGAAAAACCATTTCTCTAAATATTCGAGCAAAGAATTTCTTCAGGAGAAGCGCCTTTTGAAAAAATATCCGCAGACTTTGAATTAATTGGAAAGTAATGCCAGGTAATTTTGCAATTAAGCAATTAAATTCAGCTTATCCTATGGGCTACAAACACGTGTTATGTAGAGCTGTATTTTGTGCCGCCTGGCTAGCCCAGCTATATTTCCAAAAATAAATTTTAACTAATTTCAACCTGCAGGGATAACTAATAGTGTGAAATCACATAGTAGTCTTACCGTTCGTCGGTATTGTTCTCCTGTCCGTTAGTCTAAGTCTATGTATTTTACGGTTCGTTAAGTCACCGTCCGTGGTTACATCCATGGACCCACACACTCACACACACTTATCTCATCCTCATGAAATCTCCTATTCTTCTACTTCATAATGTACATCAATTTTTTTTCTTGTTATTATGTATTGATTTATTTTTGTCTTATTCCTTAAGCCTAGTATAAAATAATATACATTATTCTTTCTTTGTTTTAAAGTTTTCGCTTAATTTTGTTTAATGTGTCTTCCCGCCACTTTTCTTAGTTGGTGTGATGTTCGTCTTCCTTCCCTTCTTCACATGGCGCTTTCTTTGCTACGTTGTTGAACTTGCAACAAACTTGTTGAACAAACTTTGCTTAATACGTGACATTTGCCTAGATCGAATTTAAACTAACATTTCATTCTTAATATCTCATTTTTCATTTAAGATAATATTGTGGTGTTATGGTGGTGGTTGCCAAGCTTATGCATGTTTGCAATGGTTTAGGGGTTCACTTCCAACCTGGATCTGTTCTTGTTGCTGGTGTGCTTCTGTGCTAGCTGTGCACATGCTTTTCTTTTCTCTCTCTTTTTATTTATTTATACATGAATTATTATTTTTTACTTCTTAATTTATTTTTAAACTTGCTTTGTTATTATTATTCTTCTTTTTTTATTGTATACAAGTTGTTGACATGACCAGAATAGCGCAATTTTACAACGCCATTTTGGAAGAACAGTAACACATCAGTTTGCTAAATAGAAGGTAATAGAGACCTAACTTGATTCGTATGATTCGACCAAATGTTGCATTTGATGATGACCATGTCTCTTGGCTTGTCGTTGTCTTTTCCAGAATTCGTGTTTGACTTGAGAGACGAGTTCCCATCTTGACGGAAGCGAAAGTTTCTTAGAAATGGCTTCAGTATCAACTTGGGCAGTAGGAGATTCACCAATTAATAGATGTCTGCAGTGCTTTTTTTATCATGAACTAGCTTGAAAAGCGGTTTAATCAATGCGTCATTATGTGAAAGGAGCATTGGGTTTTTTGTGTCAAACGGTAAAGCGGACTTTTGTAACCGCTCACCTACTCGAATCATTCCATTCTCATCCAGCAATGAAGATAGTGTGCAGATTGGACTTTGTTTTGTAATCTCTTGATGGTTCTGTAATTGTTTGACCCCATTTTGGAAGTCAAAATTCCGAATTACCCGAATTATGACCATATGTCCCGCTTCAAGTTCTTTGGTAGTTTTTGCCTTGATACAAAGGTGGTCAACTTTCGGTAGCCAGATGAGCGCAAGGGTTCTACTCGATTTCTTATCATCACTGCTGAACTTGACTTTCCGATGATCTTGTGGGATGTTTTGCAATAGCTGGGAATGATTAGCGCTCCATTTACGACGATTGAATCTATGTTTTGTTAAGATAGGAGAATGGATCAGTTGCCGTTGTGATTCTATTACGGTTATTAGACTGTTTGATTCTGCAAGCCCGTCCTCTATACAAAAATTGTCGTTTAGTATCTGGGCGCCTAGGGGGTGATTGGTTTCATCCTCGCTTGCAATCCTATGAAGGCATCTCGTGGCTAAATATGGGGCGGCTCGTGTACCATACATAACTGTATTTAGTGGATAATATTAAACGGGCAATGATGGATGAATGATCTGATATCTTCAATCAACTCGATGTACCATTATATGTCGGTACATTTTCTCTATGTCTGCAGTGAAGACGAATTTTGGCAATCGGACTCGAAGCAGTATTGAAAATAGGTCCCTTTGAACTGTTGGACCAGTGTACAACAAATCGTTGAGTGATTAGCCAGTTGAGGTTTTAGCAGACGCATCGAAAACTGTGCGCACCTTTGTTGTTGTGCTATCTGGTTTTAGCAAACAATGATGTGGAATAAAGCAGTTAGATGTGAGCAGGGAATCAATGTTTATTTTCGCCATGTGTCCCATCTGTTCGTATTCTTCCAAGAACTTAATGTATTGTGTTCTAGTGGACGAATCTCTGAGTAAACGCCCCTCAAGAGCGATGAATCTTCTATGGGCCATTTTTTTGACGCTCCCAGCGCGGATGAGTCTTCACGAAAGGGTAGTTTCACCATAAGACGATCATCGTTGTTAGTTTGCACAGTTTGAATGAAATGTGCCTCGCATTGTTGTTCATCTTGAGATAGACCCTTGTCACATAGTCCATCGTCATCCCTTCTCCATACACTCACAATGACATCATTTAGTGCCGTATGATTGGCAGCTTCTATATAGGCTGTTGAGATAGCGCATGTCGCTATGCATTTTGAGTTTGGATTTATGGATACCTTGCCGCTAACAATCCTGCCAAGACATGTGTTTAAGAATGTCGGATGGTCGTTGCTTAATTCTATTTTACCGTTTTATATTAGCTGAAAGTAGTAT